AACACGATTGAAACCTTACAGGATAACATAACACGCGTAATTCGTGGGATACAGGCCGAAATGCTCGAAGAAGTGAACCAAAATTGGACCTTCCGAATGGACCTTTTGATACGGAGGTACGGACAACATTTACTTGGAGTTATCTTCCAAATGTAAATGGCAAAGGCCACGTTATCAATTTCAATAGAAGTTTTGAATATTTGATGCAAATTGACTGTTTTATTCGATTTAAAAAAAACTACGCTTAAAAAATCACCCATTATAAAACGGCACTTGTAAAGTTTGAGCAAGAAAACATTGCGTCAAACTAGAATTAAATGTACAGATGAATGGTAATTGGGGAATTCTAAGAGGATGAAGCGTTTTTGGGAGCAAAAAGCTGAATCAAAAGCCCTCATTATTAAATTATTAATTAAATCGCTCTCCGAATGGGGAATAATCGCTATAATAATAACTAGCTGACCCAGCCACGCGTTGCTGTGACTGAGTAGCTGTGATAGATCAAATCCATTCTCAACTCGTTATAATTGAATCTCAACCCGCATGTGTAGTGCACCTTTGCATCTCTGAAAGATTGGATGCACCTAGACTAATTCAGTGACCTCTGAATCAGACCAAATCAACCATATTCCAATTCTTGTAGCGTATGATACATAATATAATACTCTATAAACTCCGAGAGCATTGCTTCCATCAAGTTGAGAATCAGTACTGTCTTGCTTGTTATGAATCTGCCTCATTGTACTCTGCGTCTTTGGTTCATCGACAAAGGAATCTAAATCAGGAATCGACTGATGCGAAATACTGGCTTCAGTAGGGCCTAGACATAATGGAACTCGTGGCGAAAAATCAGCAGGTACCACAAATTGTTGAAACAAAGATTTTCTTCAATAATTCTTCAAACTGCTCAATGATTTTGAACCAGTACAACGTGTAGGGCGATTTTGTTCATCCAGTATCAACAAAAAGTAGTTCAAACAACATAGAAATGTTTTCAGAAGAAAATAGCCGGTTAAATTTTGCCGCATGTTTCCCAACAGCCTGTATTTAATACTATTGCCACAGTTCGGAAATCAGCTGGTCCTCCGCAATTTTGACATTGGGGTATTACCATTATATTTTAGTCGGCGAAGAGAGAAACATAAGGACGAGTGGGAAGCGGGAGACAGCCGCTTTATGATCGCAATAAATATCTTGATAAACGATCTTTTAAATTATAACTGTGATAGATATTTGCCCACTCAACTCCAGGGAGGAGTCGACTTCGTAATTTATGAGGCCATTTATCAACGTTCCACACCCTCTGTTAACTCGAAGCCAATTCGAGATGCGTGCTCCGATATCGCGAAACGATCCGCACCTCGACCAGAGTTGTGTTGGTGTTTTCGCTTGTTTTGGCTCGACCTCAGTTCGCGACCCTCATTCTTCCTAGGCTCGGGGTAGCTCTTTATAATACCCATTTCTCATCGTGTTACTACTCATCGTGAAAGTTTACTACTTTAAATTTTGTATGGATATGGCATCCATTTTATCAACATTCATTTTCACAGCTGAAATAAGGACTGCCAAATAATTTCCACTCGTTTCATTCCATTAAACTGGTAGTCGTATTCAAAAAAGATTTTATGCTTTACCTGGTCAAGTTACCTTGCGGAATTGTTCTTATTTCAAAGGTCCACTCTGGTTTCACTGAAAAAAACCATATTTCAATAAAAAATATGAACTTTTTCGATGAGAAAATGTAATTGAATAGAGCAATAAAGTTTTTTAGCTAAATTATTCTCACACGTATGATGTCATAAGAATTACGTCACAAACTGCTAGACGATGTTCGCGATTCATGTAATTTGTTAAATTTATGTGTTTCCTTCATATAAAAGTGAATTTCAAACAATAAAAATGTTACAGTGTCCAAGTAAAGTAATTACCACACAGAAAGAATTGTTTATTCATGTGCCAAAAGATAGAGAAATCAGAAGAAAGTGGTAAAAAGGAGAACAAAGATTCGAAAGGAAAGATATAACAGTATTAACAACAAAAATTATCACCTATTATTGGAAAATCATTTCGATTGAGTTTTCGTTATCTTTATACAAAATATCAGAGTATAAATTAAATACTCTATGAATACATATTATCTTTTTATTAACCCATACCTAAAAAATTCTCATTTTATCTGCAAAATGACTAAATGTGACTATGTACAGCTCAAAGCGATTTTTGTGTTCAGAACATAGACACATATAGTTAATCATTATAGATAATTGGACGTATAGAACATCATTCTATAAGATTCTCTTGAAGATCTGAAACAACTTACAAAATAAACCATTACGAACTTATCAATATTTTATGCACATAACCTAACTCGTGGAAAGTTGAGATATGATTCAAATGAAGTTTTAAACACGATAAAAAATATAGAGGGGGTATACAATCATACAACATCGATCGAAGTAGTATTAACATCGAACATAGTATTAAACATAAAACTGTACTCACAAAGATGTCTTCACGTTCCTATATTGTGAAGCACAAAAGTCGTTTCTTGCAAAAAAATTGCTACCATCAAAGACACCCAATCTATCTATGATAAATTCGGTTTATTTTCTTTGATTAATCAAGTTTCATTCGTGGTATTAATATAGAGTAATTCACATGTATTTGGTCGATATGAACACAAACCAAGAAAGCCTTGTCTTCTTATTTTTGTTTATAATATGTAATGATTAGACCAGACACACAGAAAAAGTTCAAGAATTGATTAGGAACTGAAATCACATATACAATGGAATAATCAAGGTGAGTTCTAGAGAAACGTTTGAGAATATCTAAATATAGCTACTATCGTAGAATTATCAAGGAATTACTTCATTGAACTCTATCCAGAAAGCATTTACATCTATATTAGAAGGACAAAAAAGGATTTAAGAAGATCCATAGTACAATCGTTGTGCCTGCACTATAATGCAGTCACCTCACAATAGGTGATAAATACAGTTCTCAATATTACATTACATCAAAATCAGTATGATGAATTATATTGCTATAGTATGATCTTCGATCTTCTTATAACACAAACACTTAGGCCATTGTTGAGATTTAAAGAACCAGAAAAAATCTTACAGGTTTTTAAAAGTTACAGGGTTGACTTTTTCCCTATAGATGATATACGCCACTGCTAACCAACCAATCCTTTCAAAATACATTCAGTGGTTTTCTACTTCATCGGTCTCCTAAATATCCTTCATTTGGTGTACTGGTTAAATTCTGCTTCCACCGTGTTAAATTGAAGAACGTGGATGACTTTTTCCCTATAGATACGCCACTGCTAGCCAACCATTCATTCAAAAATACGCATTATAAACTCAATGTATTTTCACTTCATCCATCTCGGAATCTTCTTTATTCTGGTGTAATGGTTAAAATTCTGCTGCTACTGTATTAAATTGACTAATACGGATTACTTTTTCCCTATAGATACGCCACTGCTACCCAACCATACCTTTAAAAATACGCAGTATAAACTCAATGTATTTTTACTTCATCCATCTCGGAATCTCCTTTATTCTGGTGTACTGGTTAAAATTCTGCTTCCACCGTATTAAATCCAACAACAGCGACTGGAAGTGTTACCCGCCGTGTGTAATTGCAATTTGTTAAGTAGGGCTGCAACCAGGAAGCCGCGATATTTACAACCTTTTGTGTTCGCCTGACCACGACACAGCAACGCGATAATAGCCTGTTTAGCTTACACCTACTACTTTTTGCACATTCAGTTTGTCTTCTCAAACACTTGCTTTATGTTGTCAACGGTTATTTAGAGGTTGCTTTAGCAGCGTTGCTTGAATAGAAGTCGTGTGCAGCTTTCTGCGGAATGAAAATAAAATTTAACGTATTTGTGCGGGTGGATGTAGACAAATCGTGGGATGAATACCGGGACATGTTATGTTCTAGCTTATTCGGAAATAGGTACATGTTATGGTACATGTCTCAGAATTTGTCGAATTAATTTCATGGTAATCACGTCGGTTTTTGGAACTTTTGAAGTGAATACTTCTTTAGGTGTAATTTCCTCTTCTTCTAGGAAATGAACGAAACTGAATTGGACGAGTAACTCTGAATTGGGTTTACCAGCATCTGATAGATACGAGTATTATACATCTATCTAGAGTAATACAAAAGAACATTTGTATTACTATATTTTTTATTATTTTAATTTAAAAGGAAAACTTCTTTAGCCGCGTTGAGCACTTTTTGGCTGAGAAAAATCTTATGAGTCTCCGACAAAATGCGCAGTTTGTTGTGCTTTTTGTATAGTTGAAGTCTTGAGTGTTCATGTCACCGACATGCTTATTGCAGTATATCTGTGACTATACAGTTGACGTATTGTTCTTAGATAAATTTCAATCAAACATTTTCATTTCTTACTTTAGTTAGCATAATACTGTTGTACCTCTTTTAGAACACAATAAAATGGTTGACAGTACAAAAAGTTGGAGTATGTTGATATGCAAATATGGAAAATAATGTTAAAAATCAAGTACATTTGAATTGATGTAAATACAAATACTATCCTTAATAATCTGATTGTATTTTAATCGTTATTTCAATTGAATTGTTTCTATATTTTGACATGATCTTGTACATCTCGTAATATACTTATTTGAATAATTGAAAACCATATTTTCATGTATATAATTGTTGCTTGGAGTGTCGACAAATGTGAAAACAAAATTGATGTTGATAATTTTAATTCAAATATTTTGAAATTTCAAATTCCATTACTAAAAGTCCTAGGTTTTAAATTCTATCCACTGCCAATTTTTGAATTTTCTAAATATTGGAATGATTATGTAGGTACGTAATTTTTTTTTCAATTCAGAGGACCTGCAGTCTAACGCCAGTTCCGAAATGCCATTGGGCTTGTAATCAATGTACATTCCCCAGCATATATCATTATTAAAACTACTCACATCATAGACAAACACAAACACCCAAGCCTTCAGCGGGGCTCGAACCCAAGTTCTACCCCGCACAATAGTCGGGTGCTTTACCGACTAAGCCACACAGACCGGCATTTACGTAAAATATTTCCTATATTTCAATTTCCATTTCATTTTTGTGAAAAATATTAAATAAAATAAAATGAATTGGGATCATTCCATGAATAATAATAAATATGTTTAACATTTTTCACAAAATACAATAAATATATATCCAAAAACAACTAAAGCATGTTTAAGGTACTGCAGAGAAGCTTTATCTAGAATAAACGCTTCCTATCCATGAATATATATATATATTATATATATATATATATATATATATATATATATATATATATATATATATATATATATATATATATTATATATAATGCATATTATGAATAATGAATAAATATAAATGAATATTATATATAACTCATCTAAAAACACATGGCAATCAAATAAACATTGCTTCTGAAAAGCGAACTTACGAAGTGAATCTGAACAACAAGACACGTGCGCCTTAAACAAAATGGAATTTAATACGAAATTCAAAATTGAAAGGTAACGCTAGTATAGATAAAATATTAGCTATTACACATAAAATATACATGAACAAATATACAAAATGATTCACAGGTATGACTAATAAAAATTTCAAATATTTGACAAGCAAATGAGCTAACAAGAAATCAATATGTACTTCTAACAATATCTAACTAAATGTATATTTTTAAATTCGAATGAATATTCATTTATAGATCAGGATTGGTTGCATTACACAGGAGCTAATTGTTTCTCATGATAACCACTGAACTCTGTTTATGATGATCACGAGGATGATTTTTATCCTTCACGAAACTCATCAACAACTGCTTTCAAATGATGGCTCTTAAGTTATACTATTATTGTGTTAACTCTCGTTGCAACTATATTCACTTTTTTGTTTTTCTATTTATTTTCTATAATTTAATTATCATCTTCAAATTTTCATTTCGTTTTAATAGACATAAATAAGTGCCGAAATATTAGAAAATAAATAAGTATTCAATAAATTCAATGAACGATGAATCAACTATGTGATAGTTCATATATAAATGAGAGGTAATGAGAAATACTTGTCTATAAAAAAAACTAATAAAGGTATATGAGCATCCGTTATACACACATCCCCTCTTCAAATTTGAATATAGCTTTTTCGAGTCAGAGCAGATTGAATAAAATGATTTTTATAATTAATTGTCCAAACTCGATCCAATGAAGAAGACAGGAATTTATAGAATGGACTGTGAAGTATGTAAGTCATCATATATAGACCAGACCGGAATAGATTTTGAAACTAGGCTTAAAGATCATCTAAAAATCGGGCAATCAGCTTTTCCGGAACATCTAGAGTCGACAGAACATAACATCTCATCCTCTTTTAAACCAATAATTCTTCATTACTGTGAAGAAGGCATGAAAATAAATAAACTTCAAAAATCTCATAATTACAATCATCTCAATGACCAGCTTTACCTAAATCACTCCCCACTGTTAAATCTCTGATAATTTGGAAATACCCACCTCTACCACCTCCATTCTATGTTCTATGGATATAGAACATAGAATGGAGATGATATAGATGTTCTCTATTCACCCCCATATTCCACCACCTCAAGGGACCGAACTGATCTATAAATGCTTTAAGGGATGTCTTTATAATATGTATTCATCAGTCTTGATAACGCCGTAAAAGGCGAAACTAGTCGAATAAAAAGTTATTCAGTTTTGGATTTTTAGACAAGTTTTTCTCATTACCTCTCATTTAAATATGTTCCTAAATATTATGATCTCTTTTCTGCATATCCAAACTACATATATACGTAGGTAATAATGAAAATTTGAGTTTTAAAAGTGAGAAATTAAGGACAACATAAAACTGATGCTCAGTTGTGATAATATGCCTACTCGGGGTTTGAGTTAGGAGCATTCAAAAAGGACATAATTAGTTATTCTACATGCGAGTAATATACTCGGAATCGAGTTTGAAGTTCATTTTAATTACAGAAAAGTGTTCGGTCCGTCTAGTCTCCCGAGTGCAATCCATGTTCGACACGCCAGTGCCAGCGCTGGCGGGTTCCACAGAAACGAATGTGCACAGATTAGGCCCTAATTAATTGCCTCGTAAACGTGGCGCAGCGGAGCCCGAGAAAGCGAGAACTCAGTCGCCACCGCGATAACGGCGCTAATGAGATTAACCGGCAACAACAACTAACAACAACGAATATCTGTGTACGGCAGAAGGAACGAGTGCTCCATTTGGGACGGCTCTGGATCAGGTCCGGCCAATGAACAATCGATGACAGTACGTAAACTCTGTGCTCCACCAAAATCAGGCTAACCAAGACTTTTATGGGCCTCGATTAAAATTTGATAATTTAATTTGTTTTAATAATAAATAGTCAAAACTCCACCCAATGAAGAAGACTGGATTTAGAGAATGTACTGTGAAGAATGTAAGTCCTCATATAACACTTAAAAAACTGCCAATCAGCTTTTCGGAACATCTAGAGTCGATAGGACATAAAATCTCACCCTGCTTTAAACCAAATATTTTCCATTACTGTGAAAAAGGTATGAAACTGAACTACGTGGAAGCCATGGAAATAAATAAACATCGAAAATCTGATAATTTCAATCTTCTCAATGACCAGTTGGACCTAAACCACTCCCTACTGTTGAATCTCTGATATTTTGGAAATTCCCACCTCTGCAACCTCCATTCTATGTTCTATGGATACAGAACATAGAAGGGAGTTGATATAGACGTTCTATATTCTACCAGCAGGGACCGAACCACAGAACATTCCTAATTTAGGTTATATTCTGTGGACCAACCTGATCAGTGAATATTTAAAGGGTGTCTTTGTAACATGTATTCATTCTTGATGAAGCCGTAAAAAGCGAAACTAGTCGAATAAAGAATTGTTCAGTTAAGGATTTTCAGACAAAGATTTCATATTACCTCTGATTTAATTTAAATTGTCCAAGAACCAACTTCTTTCAATAATAATTCAGTTGATATAAACTCAACAGTTCAAGTATCAAGTATCAAGAAGATTTATTACAACTATTCAGCCCCCCTTGCCCTTGCCAGCAAAAGTAAGCAGATCATTTACTTTCCCTCCATGCTCAGGTAAATATTGATATTAGAATTTTCATTCTGATGTATTCTGTTTTTTATTCACAAGCAGTATTAATGATTCGAAATAATAATATAGGGCTCAGGAATTATGGCTAGATCTCTAGGGGAGCAGCCCCCTACCCCTTAAAGTAAATAAGGGGTATAATAAATCAGGCGCCAAAGAAAGCATAGTGATTTTACAAAAAATCTCAAATTTAATTCAAGACAAAAACGATTACAAATTTGTATTAATGATCCTTTCTGCAATTACATCAATGGTTCCAATCTTTTGCAGCTGGAGACCCATCCTAAACTACTCCACTGATCTTATTGGTTGATTGAAAAACAATATTTATATAAATATTAATAAATAGCAACTTAATCTTAGATATGAATGAGTTACCACCACATATAACATTATAATGAAAATACAAATCAATTAAAAATTTGTGTTCACACATGGAGAATTACGTGATAAAATATGAGCACTTTGTCGCAAAGAAATCATTTATTCCACAAAATTAATTTCAATCTGCAATGTTATGGAACAAATACCTCAGTTTCATACTCACAAATGTAGCCCTTTATCAGAAATTAGAAAAAATAATGAGAATCTTGCCCAAAGACTACTGTCATGAAGAGGTCAGCTGCAGCTATACAAAATGTTTCGAAACAGGGCGATCATTTTTGGAATAAAATTCCAGAATTTTCTTCCAATAAATTGGTTGCATTCTCCAAAGAAACTTTAAGAAATTTTACTGAAACAGTTATATAAATACTCAAGTTTTAGGATCGAGTCACAGCCTACTTATGTCAAGGGCTGTACAAGTATCGGGTACCTAAGCAGATTTATTATAATTAATAACCCACTCCGCCCCCTTATCAGCATTAATAGGCATAGCACTCCCATACTTACCTAAACATACTGAAATTCATTTTTCTCTTAATGTATTCTTTTTTTATTGAATCTAATCACTACAAGATGTCATCAAAAATAAGCAGAGCAGAAACGCTCTGTAATGCTTCAACGAGCCTCCAGTTCGTCTCATCCTACTGGTTGGGGACCGCTGAATTGAATAATTCAAGTAGGTCTGCACAATGATCATCTAGTGGAAATTAGGTAAAGATGAATCAAAACTTCGACGGGTATTCGTCGTCTTATTCCAAGAATATTGGTCCCTATGATGATTTTTGACAAAGTTTTGTTTCGCAGATACAAGGCGAAAAAACCTGAGTTAATCATATTTCATATTCGTCATCTTTGTAATGAGTGTGACTTTGAATAAAGTGTGGACGAATGAAAATCACATGAAGTATGTGAAGAGCGTTACATCAGTTCTTGTTGGATGTTTGGCTTGAAATTGTGGAAGACTATCTAATTGGATTGGTATTTCTACCAAAAATACCTAATGGCGTGGTGTATTATTGCAACTTTTTGGAGGTAATGCGTAAGGAGTAAACTGAACACGAAAATGGCTTAGATTCACCATTGGACCCGGTAGGTGACTCTGCGATCGAGTTTATCGTATATAAAATAATTTTAGCTCCATATAATTATATTATTCTAGCTGCATATAATTCTTTGTGTAGCGATGTGAACTTATTTAACTTCTCGCTCGCTGCACTAAAACGCTGGCCAAATTCATGGACCTTTGTAAGTTGAATTGCTGTTGAATTTCAATCGTTTATTAGTATAAGTTTAAATATCTACTCTTATGTTTTTCTTTTAGGTTATGTTATATTACTTAATTCAGCGAATACTCTTAATGGGCTTAACCTGTATGTATTCCCATTTTGGTAAATAAATAAATAAATAAATAAATAAATATCAGAACATAAACCCTAAAATTCAAAACATCAAAACAGTCCAAATTGTCACAGATTATTCAAAAGAGTTCAAAATTTTCTAATTGAAGAC